GGGATTACAGGTGTGAGCCACCGCCCCCAGCCGCAAGTCAATATCTGAGCTAGCTTTCTTTCACCTGGAAAATGGGGCTAATAATCCCACTCTCACGGAGTTGTTTTGAAAATTAAATAGAAAACTGATGTGATAGTGCCAAAATCAGTGCTGACTAACATGCTAAGTGATGCCTTCCTTGTCCAGGCTGCTGCTGCTGTTACCATTGCTTTTGTATTTTGGTGCTCCCCAAAAAGTATGTGCTGTCTTTCGCCCCTGGAGATCCCTTGGAAACTTGTTCAACATGCAAGAAGCCTCAGGCCCCATGTCAGGCCTACTGCCTCAGAAACTCTGCAGGTCTCTGTGATCTGTGTTTTCACAAACCCTCCAACGACTGACTCAGGTTTGAGAACCTCTTAGCTAATGCAAAGTACCATCTAAACTCAGCTAAGGAGAACTTGTAACTCACTATATTCTATTTGGAACAGTGGGAAAGAATGGCCAGGCTGTTGTTGGGATGCGTTTTTCCTTAACACAGGACCGAAAAAAAAAAAAAGCTACCTTTATTAAAGTGACAGTTAACTTGTAGTTATTGAAAGGTGATTATTGACAGCTGGGCGTGGTGGCTTACACCTGTAATCCCAACACTTTGGGAGGCTGAGGTGGGTGCATCACTTGAGATCAGTAGTTTGAGACCAGCGTGGCCAACTTGGTGAAACGCTCTCTCTACTAAAAATAAAAAAATTAGCCAGACGTGGTGGCAGGTGCGTCTAATCCTGTCTCCTCGGGAGGCTGAGACTGGAGAATCTCTTGGACCCAGGAGTCAGAGGTTGCAGTGAGCTGAGATCACTGCCCTTCAGCCTGGGCGACAGAGCGAGACTCCATCTGGGAAAAAAAAAAAAAAAAAAAAAGTTACTACAGAGTTTGTGAATCATGTAGGGCATTTGCCGCTTCCTAAAATTCCCTCATTAAAAAATTTTCCCATCTGCCTCTTCCTTGCTTATACCTTGGTTTAAACAGTGATGTGTATAGGCTGAACAAAGGTTTACTTATGGTATGAATAGTGGGTTTATTTTTAAAATTTCATATTCCTTTATCTCAAAATGGAACCAAGAAAAAGGAAATATTCACCAAAGATTTGTCTGGGAGCTTTTAACAGATCATTCCCTAAGCCATTGCAAATTTGCAACAAGAAACCAGAAAGCTATTCAGTGTGACTGGCAAAACAATTTAGTCGCAAGGACAAAGGAGGCAACCCAGAGCAGGGGCTCAAAGCCTACCTCTACTCCTGTGAACTTCCTGCCTCTTAGGTCTTCCTTTGCCCTGCCCAGGAGCCTTTGTGAGTTCCACCCAAGAGGGAGTTGTTGAACAGTGTGGGGAGAGCAAGTTTCTTTCACAAAGCCTGGACCTCATAAAACTTATCCTACCAATGATATCCATGATGTCCTTTTTCACCTCACTACTTACAGGGCTTTTAGTTGAAGGTGATGGTGAATCATAAAAAGAAAATTTGTCTCAGAATAGGTGTAGAATTACATGTCTGCCGATAAAATCTTAGTCTGGGTTTTTTTATTTTTATTTTTTGACACTAATGAAGTAAAACCTTAATTAACTAGAATCCTTAATTTAATAGGATTTCCTCCCTGTGGGAGACTTCTTGATTTTAGAATCATGTAGTAATAAACTAGTGTTAGGAATTCTGTGAAAGAGTGGCTTAATTGAGTTCTTCTGGTTATTTCTGTAGCAATTTTCAATATTTTGGAATGAAAATCTGGAAGTATGGGAGAAACCCAACTGATGCTGAGATAAGTCTAATACAAGGCTGAGTTGTTTGATTTAAAAATATTTTAGTAATGTAACTTTGTTAAAGGAAAATTGAGTGTGTGGAATTGATGAGAAAGTTGAGGACTCTGAGTAGCCTGTTAGTTGAGGTATAACTGTTCACACCCCCCCCCTTTTGGATCCTGGACTGAGAATTGCCATTTGGAGTTCCCTTCTCTGAGACAAAGGTAGCATTTATTTAGAAGGGATGGAGCTCTGCCCTGTGAAGTGGAGCCTAAGGCTGAACACTGACCAGCTATAAGGACTCCTGTGTTATAAGTGGCATATCAGAGAGGGGAGAACTCCCTTGATGGTGAGAATAGCCAAGCAGACAAACACATGCCCGTGGTAAGCTCCCCCCCACCCTCTCACCCATCGGCCTGTCTTGACTGCTGCAAGGTGCATGCACTGGATAGTCTGGGAGGAGAGAAGCTTAGTTGCTCAGAGGATGTTTGCCTGCTTAGCTCCTCCCTGCAAACTGGCTCAAAGTGGCTGTAAAACAAGTTTGAAGGAAAGTTATTTTCTGATCAATCTGATTACTTGGCTTCTATGGTTATATGCTAATGGCATATGATCTTTTGAACCAACAAGAGAAATTACAAAAATCATAAAACAATTGAAAGGAATTGAGTATCATCAAGTCCAGTGTGCTACTGCCAACCAGAAGTAAGTTTAACTGTCTGAAACAGGTGAGACTCAGACTCCATTGCAGAAGAATTCATGACCAGTTTCTGGTTTAGCAGCTTCTTCTTTTCAGTATTTTGACTAGCATAAATTATTAACTTTGTGGTTTTAAGAGTTATTTTAAAATCTGATAATTGCAATATCCATCATCTAGGAAAAGTTTTTGATACACACAGGTCTAAGAAGATAATTCTTTTTTTTTTTTTTTTTTTTTGAGATGGAGTCTTGCTCTGTCGCCCTGGCTGGAGTACAGTGGTGCAATCTCAGCTCACTGCAGCCTCCGCCTCCTGGGTTCAAGCGATTCTCCTGCCTCAGCCCCCCGAGTAGCTCGCACTATAGACACATGCCACCACACCCAGCTAATTTTTGTATTTTTAGTAGAGACAGGGTTTCACCATGTTGGCCAGGATGGTCTTGATCTCTTGACCTCATGATCCACCCGCCTCAGCCTCCCAAAGTGCTAGGATTACAGGCCTGAGCCACTGCGCCCAGCCTAAGAAGATTATTATTTACCACACTGTAGCGAATTCAGTCAGGCAGCTAATGTCTCTCTGTGCATCCTACTCCCATAGATTAAAAGGCTATAGAAATACCACATTACTTTTTAGATGATTTTTAAAAATAGTTTTTGCATGTGTTTTCCAGAGTTAAATCTTTTTTAAAGAGTTGTTAAGTTTATAAAAATATATAAGTGTGTAGTGGCTGTTTTTTAATCTAAAAGTATTGAATGATTAGCTTCTATGCAGAGTACCATGCTTTAGCACCAGGACAGGTGCTACATTTGGGAGGTTCTTTTCTGATGGAGTTCACATGCTAGGGGAGAGGGGAGGAGGAGAGAGAACCAACTGATGTGTTAGGTAAGCACATACTTGGTGGATTTGAGGAAGCCTTTACCTTTAGAGTGAGTGACATTTGAATCATTCCAGAGATTTGCTGGAAGCTGAAAATTAAGGATGGGGATGTGTGGTGGAGAGAGAGGCAGTGGAAATTTGTGGCTGGAATGAAATCATCAAAGTCTAGAATATCACTGAGGAATGGGGAGTAGTCAGGTGTGACTGGAATATAGAGGTGGTTTGTAAGAGAGTCATACTTCCTAGGAAAGCTGGCTCTGGAAGAATTGGTTTCAGTAAAGAGAGCCTGGTGGAAATTAGAGCAAGAGGCTGCCTTGCAGGGTATGTTCAGGGGATGGATGTGACTGACTGTCAAGTAGAATGCATGTGGCCTGCAGGGGGACAGTGGATAATTTCTAGAGAGTAGATCTGCGTCAGATTATGGGGGAATTTTAATGCCAGAGCAAGAATTTAGAGTTTATTCTGCTGTAGTAAAGGGCCATCGAATGCTTGTTATTTTAAAATATGGATGGTGACATGAGAACCAGGACCTTAAATCAGGTCTCTTTTCATGAGAAGGCTGAATTAAAGGGATAAGATGTGGGGGAGGCAGGGAGACCAGCAGGCTCTTGTCAGAGGAAATAAGAGAAGTCAGAAGAGGGCAAAGAGGCTGGGAAAGGGGGTGGGGAAGGGTGTCTGACATCAGGGCTAGAATTTCCGAAGGTACCGACCGACAGCCTTAACTAGACAATCAAATATTTTCCTGTTTGTTCAAACGGCATTGGGAGAAAACATTCAGTAGATTCCCTAGGAGCAAGTCTATGAAGACAGAAGTCATTTTATAGTTCTTATGTCACTTTTTAATCATACATTGCATGTGAGGGCTGGGAAGTGGCCCATGGTGCCGACAGTGAGGCAAGCCCACTTTTGGTTTATGTGTTGGCTAAAACTGCACTTCCTTTGGTCTCCATCTCTGATTTGTTTCTCGGCTGAATGCCATTTAACCCCTTTGGTGCCAGGGCTAATTTAGGATACATTTTTATGTGGTTTAAGTAGGGCAGTCAGATTATAAAGCATTCTCTGTAGGTAGAGTTGACATCTATAATTGGATTTTCTCATCCCTGACATTTGAAATGAGAAATAAAAATCATTTTTTGTGGGGTTTACATGCCAAGACACTCCCAGTAGAGTAGGCTGAGAAAGTAAATGCTGTTTTGGGTGCCTGGTAATCTTTTAATTATGAAATAAGCCTTTTGATTTTAATCTTTCAAAATGTACGCTGCTGATCCAGGAAAACAGCCTTTCTAAAGTTCACATCCTGCTGACTCCTCTACCCCATATTTTGCAAGCTGAAAATAAAAATATCATTAATCTTGTCTCAGTTCCACTGCTGCCTATAAAAGGCTGTTCAGTTTGGAATCAGTCCTGAGCCATGATGGAGACCATAGCCCAGAGTGAATACTTGGGTGTTGGGAGCCGAGACCCCAGCTGGAGGGTCACAGCCAAGTGACTGAGGCCTCAGCCTAAGGCTGGGTTAAGGAACTTAGGCTTTGTTTAAATCACAGCCGTTATCATTGCTTCTTCCCAGACCCGTCCTCGCCTCCCTTCTCGCATGTATGTATGCATGACAAAACTTGGAGACTGATAAATTTTATTGTTTTCGTTCTTTTGTGGCATCTGAAACAGTTTGTACAATGACGACAGAAACCTGCTTCGAATTAGAGAGAAGGAAAGACGCAACCAGGAAGCTCACCAAGAGAAAGAGGCATTTCCTGAAAAGATTCCCCTTTTTGGAGAGCCCTACAAGGTATTTACTGAATACTAGAAGTTGAAGGTCTGATTTATCACAATATTGAACCCTATGATGAAACAATTCAGTATAATTGAGTTCGAACAAGGGTCACAGCTGTGAAAATAAGATAACTTATTCTACCTTATGCTAGAGATTTTTGAAAACAAAGTATGAAAATTCTCTGAACGTTGTTAGTCAGAATTACCAAAGCTTGTGGTTTTCTTTTGTAATGTTAGTCTTCTGCAGTTAGTAATATGTATCCATGATACTCTTCTCAACAGGGGAATTGAGTTAAAATAGCACATTAAATTCTACATGTCACACATTAAGCTCAGAGTTTTTTCCTTAATGGTATTATATAACGTGGTTTGTTAAATGGTAGTTTTCCTTAGTTTTTTTCATTCTCAAATTCTCCTTTTTTTTCAGACAGCAAAAGGTGATGAGCTGTCTAGTCGAATACAGAACATGTTGGGAAACTACGAAGAAGTGAAGGAGTTCCTTAGTACTAAGTCCCACACTCATCGCTTGGATGCTTCTGAAAATAGATTGGGAAAGCCGAAATATCCTTTAATTCCTGACAAAGGGAGCAGCATTCCATCCAGCTCCTTCCACACTAGTGTCCACCACCAGTCCATTCACACTCCTGCGTCTGGACCACTCTCTGTTGGCAACATTAGCCACAATCCAAAGATGGCGCAGCCAAGAACTGAACCAATGCCAAGTCTCCATGCCAAAAGCTACGGCCCACCAGACAGCCAGCACCTGACCCAGGATCGCCTTGGTCAGGAGGGGTACGGCTCTAGTCATCACAAGAAAGGTGACCGAAGAACTGATGGAGACCACTGTGCTTCAGTGACAGACTCCGCTCCAGAGAGGGAGCTTTCTCCCTTAATCTCCTCTTTGCCTTCCCCAGTTCCCCCTTTGTCACCTATACATTCCAACCAGCAAACTCTTCCCCGGACGCAAGGAAGCAGCAAGGTTCATGGCAGCAACAATAACAGTAAAGGCTGTTGCCCAGCCAAATCTCCCAAGGACCTAGCAGTGAAAGTCCATGATAAAGAGACCCCTCAAGACAGTTTGGTGGCCCCTCCCCAGCCGCCTTCTCAGACATTTCCACCTCCCTCCCTTCCCTCAAAAAGTGTTGCAATGCAGCAGAAGCCCACGGCTTATGTCCGACCCATGGATGGTCAAGATCAGGCTCCTAGTGAATCCCCTGAACTGAAACCACTGCCGGAGGACTATCGACAGCAGACCTTTGAAAAAACAGACTTGAAAGTGCCTGCCAAAGCTAAGCTCACCAAACTGAAGATGCCTTCTCAGTCAGTTGAGGTGTGTGGAATTTCTTATCTTGGGCAATTCTGATTCGAAGACGGATTTGAGATGAAAATGTCTGGAGGATGTGGGGCAAGGTGGGGAGGTTAGTCCATGGCTTTTGGGCAGGGGGAGTTCTTTTTGGCTTTTTGGCTTTAATAACCCATGAAAAACTCAGCTCTGAGATGGACAACTGGTTATAGATATTGAAATGCAGTTTGCAGAAAGGTTTAGAGAACCTTTTTATTGAGCCAAAATTTATATACAGTAAAGCATAGAGATCATAAGAGTACAGTTTGTGTTTCAAAAAATAGATACACCTGTAGGATCCCAAACCTAATCAAGATAGAGAAGATTTCGGTTACCAGAAAGTTTCAGGAAGGTTTTCAGGTGTCTTATTTATTGTTTTGGGAGACACTGGGATAACAATGTGAAGAAAAAAGTTTTTTGATTAATACCTCCTCAGACCCAGTTAGTTTTTCCTGAGATCTAAACTGTAAAAAAGTAAAAACAAGATGACAGAGTCGCTTAATTTTTATTATTTTAAAAGCACTTGTTCCCTGTAAATTGTAAGGAACTTTGTAACTAAAGTTCTGTTCTAATATTTTATTATTTATCACCTAAAAAAGAAGAGTGGGTGTATGGTGACATTTCACTTGAGAGTGAGTCACAAATATAATACAGAATGTTTTTCAACTATGGGTTTTAAAAGTAACCCAAATGCTGTACTTCTTAAAACCAAGAAAAAAAAAATTTCTTTTTCTGCTCCGTGGATGAACAGCAGCATTGTGTTTGAATGAGGAGAATCAGAGCATACATCCTATCACTGAAATTTTAAAGTGGTACCAGTTTCTCCAAAATTAAGATTAGTAGTGCGAAGTGAAATGTTTGAAGTGAATTTTAAAACTTATCTTTTAATGTAAAGTCTATGGTTTAGTTACATCTATTGTATAAACATTCTAATTTGCATCTCCATTGCTCAGAGACATTTGTGCCATCCAGATATGTCTTACATAATGCCAGAAGGTAAAATTCCTTAGGTGGGGGTGTGATTCCTACCCGGAAAGATAACCTTTATCTTCCAGGAGGACAACCTGTAACTTTCTGGTGTCAGCTTCTGGTTTAGAAGAGGGAGGTTGGGGTGCCGTCCTCACTGAGGTCTTAAGCTGAGTGCTTCCAGATGTCTTCTGAATGCCACTTGTTTGGGGGCCAAGGAAAAATAAGAAAGAAGGAGTAAAAGCAATGGCAGAAATGACCAAGATGGCAGAACTGCACCTCCGATCCTAACTTACGAAGATTTAATGCATTGAGCCATTTATTGAACATTTTGTGCTGTGACGGAGGAAGGAGTAGGCAGCTGAAGGAAGGCAAAATAAAGTGAGATTCTCCCTCCTCAAAACAGTCACTCCACCTGCCTTCTAATTCAGACAGTAAAGAACTCAATGATAGTTTCTTTGCTTTCTTTATCAAATAGGGTTAGCTGTATGTTCCCAGTTTAAAAAAAAGGGGGGGGGGAACAACTTAACATTCTTTCTAAAAATAACCTAAAAAATTGCTTTAAAACAATTTTTAGACAAATTAGCAAATATTTACATTGTCTACCAAATGCCCAACCATGTGCTTAAGTGCAAGATTCTGTGCCAGAGAAATCGGTCCTTGCTGCAGGACAGATTAGTCTAGTGTAGAGATCAGCCTACACTTATGAAACAATTAGAGAACAATTGAGTTTTCTCTCTCTGGAACTAAGCACTTAAAGAACCTGTGTAATTCAGCCCTAGGTTTCCTAGTAGATGTTTCTGGGAGAGGATTCCGGTTAACTTACTGCTTTCTTGGGTAGAAATAAGTAGGCTGAGTTGAGATTTTTCAGTGTCATAAAACCCCTTATATTTAACACGTATTTCAAACGTAGGACTATGTTAATTGGCTCTTGCATGTTTTCTGAGGAACAAAATCCTCCATAAATTTGGTTATTGAAGAATGGGGGTTTTCTTGGCACCAGGCATCTGCTATCAACGATGGAGTAGAAGTAAACCTTTCATCTGCAGCCTCTGTTCAGTCAGCATTTCCTTTAATGCGATGGTTCCCTCTGGTCTCGGCCAGAGTTCTCATGCCAGGCAGTGGCAGCTGTGGTGCCAACTGCCTGGGAGCCCCGTGGCACTGTTGGTGAGTGGGAGGATGGAACTGAGGGGGTCAGACAGATGGAGGGCTCTAGGTGACCCATGTAAGGACAAATTAGGAGCCAAGAGCGTGGAATGAAGGAGTCGTCAGTCCGGGAAGCAGGGATCTTGGAGCTGTCTGGTCAGGTTTTGGATTTGATTTTGCTCTTTTAACAAAGATCTCATGTTTCACAGACTTAGCATTAATTTTCTGTTTACACACTTAGCAAAATCGGTATTTTTGAAAGTTTTAAAAATATACTTGAATTCTAAATTTCAAATTTTAATATTTCTTGTGAATCCAGGGATTATTATTCTGGTGAACCCAAGGAAAGTATAGAGATGTGGGACCAAAAATGTGGGAATTGGCCCCAGAGCAGGTAAACTTTGAATATAGGTGAGAATATTAGCAATAGCCTGGGTTATTTTTGGGTTTGGGGCAGAAGGAGAAGCTGGCTCTTGGTAGAGCTGGGAGAAGAGGGTGTGGGAGTAGCTGATTTTCCTTTTATTGCTTAATTGGTCCTAAGGCAAGTCAGGAAATACTCTCTTTCCTAGCACTCTGAGTGTGAGGATAGTTCTGTTTTGTGGTTTGTTTCATTTCTCCCCTACCCCTTCCCACTGCTTCTGTGAAATAGTAATTTTACAAATGAATCCAAATTGGAAAGCCACTCTTTGTATTTTTTGTTTTTTATGTTCCTTCATTCTCTAGCCACCTAAGTGTGGATTCTTTACTCCCTGTCCTTTCCTTTCCCCTCATGGGAAATACTTCATTTTATGTTTTAGTTGATACTATAAAAACTCATATTCTTCTCTGGGATAAGTCTTTCTCAGAATTAAAGTTTAGTTCTTCCAAAGATCCTAAGGGAAAAAATTATCAAAAGGTCAATTTCTGACTAGAAGCCTGGACCACAAAAATCTGCACTTGGTTTTCTCTGGGAGTGTCTGTTTTAGTTATACGTCAACTGGAAGATGTCTACCAGTGTGAAGTGACCAATCTGAGGCCAGGCCCAGAACTCCCCGATCTCACGTAGATCCCTTCCAGCTGCAGAGTTGCCACATCAGAGGTGGGTCTGCCCAATTGGAAGACTGGGATTTCTTTATATCACTCTTTTCTATCTAGAGATAACAAGTGAAAGAGAGAGAAGCCGTGGTATCTCTGTGAGTGCTCATGCACGTGGACCCTGAGACTGGGGGCATTGGGATGGAATGTGGAGGTGGGGAGGTCTGCCTAGATACAGGTTTCAGATAGAGGATTTATGTGCTAGATAGGCTTTTTATTGAAAAGCAGAAATGGAATAAGCAGAGATGGGTATACCAAATCATATACTGAATTTAGAATGTTTGAATTTTAAAGCTAAGGACACAGCTCTTTCATTTTACAAATAAGGTCTAAAAGGGTAAAGTCCTTCATTTTGCAAAAAGTTGTAGTTAATATCAGAGCCAGAGCTAGAACTTTTGACTTGAGTTAGAGTTAGTTCTTTTGACTTGCTGTTTGGTGGCAGCATTGGTGGCGGTGGTGAGATGTTTGTGTTTTTGACCAGAAGAGTTGTGCTTTGTCACCCAGACTGAACCTACAGCAGAGCCATGGAGGATACAGTGAGTTTCATTTCCTGTTGTGTTTCTTGGCCTCACTTTTATCTTTCATCATTCCTCCTTTTCTTTTCTTCTTTCTTTCTTTCTCTCTCCCTTTCTTTCTTTCTTTCTTTCTTTCTTTCTTTCTTTCTTTCTTTCTTTCTTTCTTTCTTTCTTTCTTTCTTTCTTAACTTATCCTTTCAACAAACTGGTATTTTGTTTTGTTTTGTTTTTTGAGACAGAGTCTCGCTCTGTCTCTAGGCTGGAGTGCAATGGCGCAATCTTGGCTCACTGCAACCTCAACCTCCTGGGTTCAAGCAATCCTCCTGCCTCAGCCTCCCGTGTAGTTGGGACTACAGGCGTGTGCCACCATGCCCAGCTAATTTTTTGTATATATATATTTTTATTGGAGATGGTGTTTCACCATGTTGGCCAGGATGGTCTCAATCTCTTGACCTCATGATCCGCCTGCCTCAGTCTCCCAAAGTGCCGGGATTATAGGCACAAACCACTGCACCTGGCCCAACAAACTGATATTAACCCTCCACTGTGTTCCTTGCACTGTACTAGGCTCTTGGTGATACAGCTGAGATCAAGCTAGACAGATCCCTGGTCTCATAGACCATCTATTCTAATGGGGAGCATTGATAATGCAGATATAATGAAATCATAGGCGTTGATAAGAGTGCCGCAAGAAGTAAAGAGGGTGATGAGAATGAGATGAATCAGAGGAGGCTGACTTAAAAATGGTGGTCAGCACAGGATGCTCTGAGGAGGCACTTTTCGCAGAGACATGGAGGATGAACATGTGTCAGTCATGAAGAGCTCAGAGACCTATTTCATTTCAGGCAGAGGAAACAAGTGTGAAGGCCTGAACTTAGGAAAAGGAATGGCCTTGTTAATCCCAGCACATTGGGAGGCCAAGGTGGGAGCATCACTTGAGCCCAGGAGTTCAAGACCAGCCTGGGCAACATAGTGAGATGCTGTCTCTATAGAAAAAATTTAAAAGTTTTCCCAGCTACTGGGAAAAAATTAGTAGTTCCAGCTACTCAGGAGGCTGAGATAGGAGAATCATTTGAGCCTGAGAGGCTGAGGTTGTAGTGAGTCGAGATACTGCCACTGAACCCCAGCCTGAGTGACAGCGGGACCCTGTCTCAGCTGCCCCTGCCACCCAAAATAAACAGAAATGAGGGGAGTATGGTTGGAACACTGAGAGTGAGGGGAGGATGTGAGATGGGACTGGAGACATGGGCAGTAGTAAGACCATGGAGGCCTTGTTGGCCATGAAAG